TTGGGAATTGATGTTACACCCACCATATAGCCCTGATCTCGCGCCATCGGATTACCACTTATTTCGATCCCTGGACAACTCCCTTCGTGGTAAAACTTTTAACGATGACGACGCTGTAAAATCTCACTTAACTCAGTTTTTGGCCGAAAAGGATCAGACTTTCTACGAGCGTGGAATTTTCAAGTTGTCAGAGAGATGGCAAAAGGTCATCGAACAAAATGGAAGATACACATTACAGATTAAACTTCGTTCCAAGTAAAAAAATTTTTTATTTCATTGAACAAATCGGCAATTACTTAGTTGCCAACCCAATAGTATAGGTGATCATAGAACGCTAATATGGTTGTTACAAAACTAGTATGTTGACAGTTTTGATATCGTATACAATGGAATTGTTGAAGATTGTACATTATCTTTCGCTAGTTTTGAGAAAATTTGAAGTTCAATTCAAGCAATGTGCAGGTACCCATAGATATGATGCAAACTGTCTACCTCTAGCATAACTTTGCCTTCTTCGTCACACGTGATGCAAACATAACACTAGACATTTAAATCACAGCAGTACACTGAAGTAACTTTGAAATTTCAATTATATGACAATTAACACATTATCATTGTTTAATCGAGAAGTCTTGAAATTTCTGACTACTTGACATAATATCGATAGATCGGCAACTCCAACTTGGCCTTTCTCCTGCGAAATTTTTGTCACGTGTCCAAGAGAACAACATGGCAAAGTGTCAATTTAAAGAGAATTTTCTGTTCCTCGATTAAGTGATGAAAGTATTATTTCTATTGTGTTATCGAAGTGTCAAAATAGTTTTAACGAATAGCTTGAACATTTGGAACAAGTGGAATTGTTTGTGAAAATTGAAATCGCGAAATAGAATGAATATTTAGGTAAGGAACCCTAATCAAAATCCAGGAAATTAATGTATGTGTAGATATAATACATTGAAGTGTAAGGGCTAACGCGTCAACGAATTTCGACATATATTTGAGCACCCATATCTCAGAAACTAATTCAGTGGCTCAAAGGAAAAACGAAGCATGTAATAATGTCAAAAAATGTTAAATTAATGCATTAATTGAAATGTAGCATATAGGATTTACGCATCTATCAGAAAGAACGTCGTGGAAGCAAATTCTATAGACTTAAAAAAGTTATGCAATTTAAAACACTACTAATAGCATTAGTAATCAGAACTTTAAGCGACAACATCACAGAAGTAAAAACATGTGACACGCAGCGTTTTTCTTTGCAACCACAGAATTTGTCAGCCCACCTTGAAAATTTATAATGATTAATATTTCGTCGTAAGCTATCATGTAGCACTTTCGGGGTCACTTCTGCAACTACCCCCCTCAATATCACCGAACTATCTCAGCAACAATGAAGTTAAAAAACTCGCTCCATCGCCTAAGAACCACAAGAGATCCCCGCAATTAAGAGGAGAACGGTTTCCTCTACGGAGTTCGTAAAACCGGGGCTCGCGCTTGGGGTTAAACACCCCCGCTCCTCGAGGGTTAGAGGAGCGTGCCGCTCGTGGGGCGCGCGCAGCGACGCTGCTCGGTTGGTGGGGATGATATTCGACGGGGGTGGCTGCGGAAAGGCCGAGCATGAGGCCGACACGCGCCTGTACTCGATGACACTTATGCACACGCCCTCAGACCGCGTGCGTGTTGCGCCTGTCAAAAGTTCCGGTCTCACTCGCGTTCTCCCTTTCTTTCCCTCTTTCGCCGCACCGGGGGCTGTACCTTTCCGCTGCAAACCGAGCTGCACCTCGACCACGTGTCCGTCACACCTGTATCCCTCTCCGATACGTTGGCAAAACGATCTTTAATCAGTGATTTTGGAACAGTGAAACGCGGGGAAGTGAGATCGTAATTTAATAGTGAATTCGGACAAGCTTTCCGACCTTATCTAGTGATCGTTTATTTAATTATCGCGGGCTTTGTGATCGGAGGAGATCGGTAGACAATTTTGGGCGGGAACAGACAGTTTATGACGAAAGAGATTGTTTTCGACAAATCGATCTAATGGACACGCAAATGTATAGCAGAATGTGGCAATCGCCGAATCTGTACACCACGTATAAATACCCCGCGATTATGCAGCTGCAGACGAACAATAACGAATTTCATTCGTGGTTTCATTCTAGGAAACCGTCCATGGACGATGTTGGAAACCCTACCTCTGTCAACGCACGGTGAGTACGATTACGATGTTGAGTAACTCGGCGGGGCTTAAAGTGTGTCGCGTTTTTTTTTTTTTAAATCGGTGGTTTTTCGAATGACAGTTGTGAGGAACGTTGATTCGATACGTAGATTGTCGTTTTTGTTTACTAACGATGAATTGTTCGAATAAGAAGTGTCTGAAATTTTCTGTTTATGCGTGAAGTTCTTATTTTGTTGACAAAACAGCTAACATACAATATTAATTTTTGTAAGCATTTATATTTTCCATGACTTAATAACAATACTGTATATCTTTATTCTTGCTTATTTAAGATGAGTTGATATTACATTTTCTTTCGAATAATCCAGTGTTGCCTTTATGCGTGAAGAAATTTTGTATTTATGCGTGAAGTTCTTATTTTATTCATTTGATAATCTATAATATTAATTAAGGGATTTTATTGTGAAATGATCGTTGAAATGATTGAGTGTGTGTGAAATGTATACATTTATGTCAGACATAACCTACGATTTTTTTGCTATAATTTAATTTTTTTTACTTTAATTTATACATTGAAAAGGAATTTGAATCTTGCTTCAATTTACATTAAGAAGTAATTAAAATTCATACATTTTGAAGGAATGAGAATTTTGCTATAATTTATACATTTAAAATGAATGAAAATTTTCCTGTACTTTATGTACCTGAAAAAATAAGTAAAACGTGTACACTGTTCCTTTCTTTCCACGCGAATACAAATTGTCTTCATTAATATTTGTAATAATTAAAATTAATTTTCATCTATTTGAAACAACTTCGAATAACGTTCTTTTTTTGCTAAACACACTTAAGCTGCCGAGTGAAATTATTTTATTTGATTTGTGAATCATAGAATAGGTAAATGTATCATAGTGCCAGTACATCTGATGTTATTTAACCAATTATATTATATAACCAGTAATTTTATATAGTATTTATATAGTATTATATAACCAATATAACCAGTTAACTGAAGCGCCTCCTTTTCAGTGCGCGCATCTATATGTCTCGCGAGAATCAAGCGAAGACGAGTATACTCGTCAAACACGGCGTAAGTGTCGCTGTTAAAATATTGGATTAAAAAGATGGTTTTATTTTATAAAATTTTAAAACAATTTTATTACTATATATAACATGTACTTAAAACCAAATACTTATAAAAATTAAAAATTCGAATTGCTGCTATAGAGTGGTATTCAGCAAAGCAAGAAACTATAATGGCACTTTGCACGTCGAGCACCAATATTGTGATTCTTTCCTAATCTTATTTTTATAACAATATAAACACCTTCGTGTGGAATTGGCCTCAAGATATTCTAAACATCTTGAAATTTGAGAATATGTTTTCGTTTTCACTAAAATTACAATTTAAATAGCCAATGGTCACTACTTTTTACGCACGACGAGTATACTCGTCAAACACCTGTCTCTTATACACATCTAACATCTTGAAATTTGAGAATATGTTTTCGTTTTCACTAAAATTACAATTTAAATAGCCAATGGTCACTACTTTTTACGCACGACGAGTATACTCGTCAAACACCTGTCTCTTATACACATCTAACATCTTGAAATTTGAGAATATGTTTTCGTTTTCACTAAAATTACAATTTAAATAGCCAATGGTCACTACTTTTTACGCACGACGAGTATACTCGTCAAACACCTGTCTCTTATACACATCTAACATCTTGAAATTTGAGAATATGTTTTCGTTTTCACTAAAATTACAATTTAAATAGCCAATGGTCACTACTTTTTACGCACGACGAGTATACTCGTCAAACACCTGTCTCTTATACACATCTAACATCTTGAAATTTGAGAATATGTTTTCGTTTTCACTAAAATTACAATTTAAATAGCCAATGGTCACTACTTTTTACGCACGACGAGTATACTCGTCAAACACCTGTCTCTTATACACATCTAACATCTTGAAATTTGAGAATATGTTTTCGTTTTCACTAAAATTACAATTTAAATAGCCAATGGTCACTACTTTTTACGCACGACGAGTATACTCGTCAAACACCTGTCTCTTATACACATCTAACATCTTGAAATTTGAGAATATGTTTTCGTTTTCACTAAAATTACAATTTAAATAGCCAATGGTCACTACTTTTTACGCACGACGAGTATACTCGTCAAACACCTGTCTCTTATACACATCTAACATCTTGAAATTTGAGAATATGTTTTCGTTTTCACTAAAATTACAATTTAAATAGCCAATGGTCACTACTTTTTACGCACGACGAGTATACTCGTCATGACACAAAATACTTCTCCTTGACGAGTATATTCGTCAAACATAGCTAACTGGTTAAACATGCTTTGATTGTCGTGCTATTATTATAAACTGTATTTATCGCGTCTTTTTATAATGGAAACCTTTCTGGTGAATATTTGAACAAATTGAATATTTATGTTTTCGAAGGTATGAAAGTTCAAATAAACTGTGTTTCGAACAGTTCAAAGCAGGAAGTCAAACATGGAAGCCAACGTCTTAAAATTTTGGTTCTTGCTAACAGCTGATAATTATGGTACTTTTAAAATTGACAGTCTTCGTTTCATAAAATTTGTATCGATACAATCTTTTATCACTTAAACAGTATAATTATTTCCAACGTTCTATCATTTTATATTTATATTGTATATTTTCTTACCACTTCATGAATAATTACGTTCGAATTTTTGATAGGTGATCCAAGAAATTTTTATCGAGATCTCGGAAATTAATATTGTTAATTTCTGCAGTATTAAAATTTACATGAAAAGAAAGATTACAGTCTGTTCTAATGCTAGTAAAAACATCAGCTGTTTGTATATTCTAAACCTAACCTAAGTAATCGAAAGAATGGAACGTATCGTCCCCGCTACTTTTCACTACAAAAATTTATAATATTTTAAGGTATAAAAATATAGATACAAAAGTTATTTTAATAATATCACTTGACGTTAATATAAACTGTATTTATAATAATATCGACAGGGGAACATTAACATCCTTATTGTATACATAGATATTATTTCATATAACGAGCATCTATTTTTTACGAAATTATATTACAAGTTTTGTGATGTCCTAGTAAATTCAGTTTGTTCCAATAGTTATTGTTTACTGTGGTGTGACCAATTGCTGTGCCTTCGTTTTGTTTTCGAGCATACTTCACTTTATATTTATCGAACATGACATATTAAATGTTTGTATTCTTTTATTTTGTTTATTTTTGAATAAAACAATTTAATATATCTTATTCGACAACTATAAATTTAATTATGCCCGAAAACAAATCAAAGGTACAGCAATTGATCACCTCGCAGTAACTTGCTCCACTACCCTACATTACATGAAACATAAATTTTGAGAACTAGTGATAAAAATAGTGTCGCCCGTATGTGACCGAGGCAGCACTTAACATGTTAATCGTTCACTTAATCGCCTGAATTAGTCGAAAATCTGCAGCGATCAGTCAGCGGAGCCTACGGTTCGCCGACAAACAGGTTAAACGTCGTGACACTCTGGCAATCGGTGGCGTCCGTCGACAATGCAAATTTGATTAACCCGTCGATCGAACACGATTCCGACAATGACCGGTAATAATCTGGCAAACAATCGCGTTGCCTGGTGGAATATCGATATCGGCGGCTATCGGCGTCGGGAAAGGTGGCAGGTCCCAGGTAAAATCATACTGGCCCACCCGGCCTTATCGCTTGTGATCATCTACCCCTCATTCGGCATCGAGAAGAGAGCCTATCTGCCGCCGTAACAATTGAACCCGTAATAGAATCACATTTATTCTTATTACCCGACGAGGTCAACCGACCAGCGAACGTCCAACCTTCGCCGTGGCCCGATCCGACTTCAGATCAGCTTTCCTAAGCCATTCCACGAGCTGCGTTATTTCCCCCTTGGCTCTACACACGCACGCTGCATATACACAGCCGTGTATAAACACATGGACACGCACCCACTCTTTGTTTAGTCCTGCGGTTTCCTTTCTTCCGTCGAGAGCTTGTTCCTTTTCAAGAGAATTAACACTTCACCTGCGCTAACCCCTTAAGAGCTTGTTAAATTCTGAGGAAACTTATCTGTGTCGTCGATTCATGGGATGCATTTTGCGACTGGAAGCAGAGTTGCACTGTAATCGGTTATTTTGTCATCACTTCTGTAATTGATTACGAAAAGTAATCGTGGTAATCGTAATTAATGATCGATTAATCTTTACTAGAATGAATCAGTAATCATGATTACATTTAGTAATCTATAATCATTGATCAGTAAATTGTAATCACGGACGAATTTATTTGTGAATTTATCTTTTCGTAGTGCTTCATATTGGGTCCGAATGAGGGGCCCAAATAAAGAAAGTCTTTCGTTGAGTCATAATATACGTGTAGATTTTCTAAATACTTTTCGGAATTATTATCAACTACCATAATACAAAATTTTTCAGTTGATCATAATCAAAAAAGTTCATTATTATACGATTAATGAATACCGTGGTAATTATGATCAACGATTACATTCGCTTTGATCACTTAAGTTATTCATTAATCAGTACTTGATTATTTAGTGATCGTAATCATCAATCATGAACCTGATGTCATGTTAGTCATAATTGTTAATCACCAATCACATTACTTTCGGTTGGAAGTAGTGAACAATCATGTGTCAGGGTTTGATTTTGTTATGTAAGTTAGACAAAATATTTTGTAGAAATATTTTTACGTTCAATTTTCATCTCGTTGATTTTCATGATTTTCATGCTATTGGTGGACTTATGTGTAAAAGCACATTGAATGAGAAAAATTTAAAAATAAATATCTTTGAAAAGTTTGTTCTACGATTTTTGCGATATTTCTATGGAATTTTTAATTTAGGTGATATTGTTGTGCATGAAATTATATAACAGAACTAAAAAGTAAGAAAATAGAGTTAATATTTAGTAGACTGCGGATTTTACACATTTATGGCAAAAA